CTACCTTGTACAGCTTGCTTTGCTCTTTCCAATGGTGCCCTGCAGCCCTGTAAAGAATATAAGGTGCATCACTTATAGCAGTAAGAAGTTAAGGTTAACAAGACTTATGTAACAACCTAATATGTATATTCATCTGTAGGAAAGGTGACTCACACGCTGATTTCATGTCCTAATCGACAAACTTTGCAAGCCCTCTCTTCCACTCAGCAGTGCTATTCCTTAGCAAACTTTGGCATTTTTGATGATAGAAGACAGTAAAAGAAATTTTTATTCTGAGAGGAAGAAGGAAAAAAGAAGATATTCTAGAATTTTTCATCCTTGTAATTTGTTCTGCTAAATCACATGCGATTTTATTGCTTTCGGCGTGCTGTGCCAGCGCACTTGGCAGTGGTTTTAAAGGCTTACCTTGACAAAACAAATTCGCAGTTTTCAATTTCGCACGGAAGTTTTTCAAGTTGACAGGGTATCATTATTCATTATTATAATTTACTGCAGCTGAAGTGCGAATGTAAATAAAATATCACTGCTCATTTCTTTTCAGTCACGGAGATCGCTTTAAACCTGTCCTCAAAATGCTAATGTGAAGCTATTGTGCCCTACGTAATTTTATTGTTCAATTTTTCTTTGGAAAACGAATGTTTCCATAGAAGATTGTAGTTCAGTGGAAGTCATGCTTTGATGTAGTTTTGGGCGAAACGTTCGGACTAACACCTCTCGTCCAATACTTTGCTGGCAAGTGAATCTTAATTCCATTTGATTACCCAGTCATACCCTTGATACGTAGAGTCGCAAACTCTGTTTACCTTTACAATGAGCGCCACGAGAGAACACAACCTTCACCTGAAAAAACGTTCGAGGGGCGAAGTCTCGGATGTGATGTTATAATCATAATTACTTCGGAGTGGATGCGAATGAGGCAAGTATAGGGAATGGTGTTTACAAAATATCCCAGCAAATCCGAAGAGTTGCGTTCTAATAGCTTTTTCAACGCTAAAAAGGAGCTTCTTGTGAAGTTTTCCCTGGAAATCAGAGCAACATCTCCCACTTAATCTTCTTTTGGGCTAAGATTATGTTCTAGAAGTTTACGAAAGCGAAAGCTTAATTTTCAATGCTTGGGAAGTTGTCAGTATTCCTAGTGTGTCGTGACAATCAGAATGATATGCTATGTTGCGTGATTGTTTAAGACCTCGCAAAGACTACGACCAGAGCGAAATGCAACGGTGGCTCTAATTTTTTCCATCTGCTCGTCCGCACCTCCGCTCGTTGCGCGCTATCTCGCTATCTCAAACATGGGGCATAAGGCATTTGGCTCCGGTACCCTTTTCTTGGTGGTTTTGAATCCAATACTAGCAGTGATTTATGATGAAGCTCTTGTTCTCTTGCTCTCGTTACTTTCAGGCTGAGAACGTCGCAGAACATCTTTTGTTTAAACGATTAATCTGGCAAAAACCATGTTTTTCAAGAACCTCTTGCTTTTCCTCTATTACTCTTTCACGCGGTTTTTCATGCATTCAATAGATCTTGCTTTTGTATACAATGTAGACAACGTGCAGGTCTTACTGCTTCGATTACGGCGGATTCTTTCTTGTGAAAAATTACAGAAATTGCGTTTTTCTTAATCCCGTTTTCTTTCAGTATTTTCGCAGCCATTTTTTTACCAGTTGGACGATTACTGTTCAGAAAATCAAGCGCAAAAACCCAGACGATGTCCCAGGAAACAGGAACGACAATGCGGGGAAATTCCAATTACGCACCGAAGCCAGAATGGCTTTGACATTCATGTTGACTTAGTCGGAACGTGGTTGTTTTGAAGCAGCCACAAAGAAGAAGTTAGCTTTCCCTCGTTTTCCCCGCTATGGACTGCCTGGTCCCAGAGCGAAAAATTCGAAACGCCGCCGAATGAAAGATTTAGAACTCATTTCAGCCCTTGTCCTCCTTCTAAAAATTTCTTTTGCTTTTGCCACCTGTTTTGCATCTTTTTTCTTTTCTGAGCATCAATGAACAACCTTCACTTTTCTGTGAGAGGCAGATAAAACCTCCAATACATTAAAGTGGGCTAGGGGGAGACTTTGGTATGAAAAGGCTCCCCCCGCGGGCATAATTCGTAGGAGGCTCTAAACCCCCACACATTATATATCTTCTGAAAGCTCTTGATGAGAAGAATCTGACCTATGAAGTCGCAACATGATTTATGCAGTTCGGAAGAAGTTATGAGCTGTTGAATTTCAAAAAGCGCTATTTTACCTGCTTTTTCAAAACTCTGGATCTCGGAGGTGTTTCAATGGATCGGAACGGCTAAGATATATCCTGATAACGAAAACCTTACTCTATAAAACCTATAAAGTCGCAACATCACACACTTCTACATTCAAGATTTATATGAGTTTAACTGTCAACTGTCAAAAAACACACCAAAATGACGTAAATTTTTAGAATTCTGGTTTCCAACGACTAACTCTCAAATCCACCCGATTCTTTCACCAGTTGATAGAGCACCATTTACTCTTCAAAACCTATAAAGTTGCAACTGCTGACATCTCCAAACAACAGATTGATTTTTCACTATTTAATTATTCAAAATTCTGGTTCTCGGCCGTTACTGCCTGGATCGATCTACTTTCTTCGCTGTACGATATAACGAAATTTACTTAGTAAAATCCGTACAGTTTCTCTAAGTTTTACTCTCAAATACACCATTTACTGAACACGTTTATTTCAAATATATATGCCGCCGTATACATAAATATATGCTTTCAATAATCTTTTTTGCGTTTGTTCTGCTTATTTTCCTTCTTTGTCGTCCAACGAAAAATTTTTTATTCCAAAAGTGAAGGTGGTCACCCTGTACCAGCTCAAAGGGTTGGGCCAGACTGCGCGGCGTACGCGACGTACGCAGCGTACGCCGCGTATGCTCCTATGATGAAATATACCGAACGTACGCTGCGTACGTCGCGTACGCCGCTTCTCCGCGAAGTCTGGCTCAACCCAAAAGTGAAGGTAGGGGGAGAATCGGCTCCTACTATCGCACCTCTGTTGGAGGGGGGGGGGAGAGAGAATTGTGGTTTGACAGATTTGGCTGAAACTTGGCATATTGGGTTATCCGACATGCTCGTCACGAAAACGATACTGAAGTTGCGTGACACTTTTTCGTAAGATTTTTACGGGTTTACGAATTGGGATTCTACTCTAAACAAGGAAAAGCGTTAGTTTAACAATTCAGTATGATTTGTATTTGGGAGGACAAACAACCTTACTATGTGTAGTCGTATTTTGAGGTTCTTCTTCATTGACATTTGTCCTCACCATAGCGGACTCGTTTGATTTTGTGATTGCGCCAAACCTCGACATGCTATCGAATTCATTTTTTTTACTCGCTAAGCCACTGTGTTCTCTAGCATTGATTTGTGCTCATTTTCGATACTGCGCATGGTCTAGACCGCTAACTCAAAAAATTCTTGAAATTCACTTTTCAGTTTTCGAAAAATAGCTGAAAATTAGTGTTGAAAATCTAAAGAATTGTGCGTAGTTGTAGCAACACAGCGCTTCATAAATTGCCAAAGTTTGAGTGCACCACATTCGAAGAGAGTAGAGTGGGAGACGGTCGAATGGCGCGTATTGATCGATTGTTATTAACTGGAGAAGCAAGAAATAAGCTCAAATTTATTTTAAGACTTTTGGATTCCAACTTGTTTTCCTTCATGACGCTTCCTGATGTACTGACAATAATCCTGGAATCTGCAAACCACGTTTTGTAGAGAACTTCTCCCAGTCTGACAATAAGGGCTGGTGAAACCCTTTCGACTTACACTGGAGTAGAGTTATGAAAAAAGTTGCGAAACTCAATGTTAGTTCCCAACCTAAATACAGGGTATCCCAAAGAATGTATCGAACGTTTGATCTTTAATAACTTTCTTATATGGAGAGCTTTCGCAGGTCATTGGGTGCCTTACGGTAGGGCTAGCTTCAACTTAGATTTACAGTCTAAAGCGAATTACAAATTCCCCTTATCTACTGTAGGATTACGGTAAAGATTTTCGACTAATTTTAGGCCTCTGAGAGACGAGAATTGCTTATGAAAGATTTCAAAGAAAAGCATTTCAAAATAAGGTTTTCGGGGATGCTGAATCTAATCACAAAGCTTTTCCTACCGTACTCCATGGCTTCTCACGGTACGCGCACTGTAACTCTGAATTTTTGTCTTGTTTCCAAAATTTTCTAAATCAACATTGCAGCCACAAACACGTCGAAATCAATGAGTCAAATCAATGAAATCAACTCAAATCATTAATTGTATTTGAATCTTGAATTTGTAATTTTTTAACTCATTATTTGCAACTAATAAAGATTGAAGAAGTCTTAAAGGCTCAACTGAACTTTGCTTGACAAAGGCAACGTTGAATTCTGGATAAAAGTAGTCGGTAATTCGCTCTATACTGTAAATCAAGGTTGAAGCTAGCCGTACCGTATGACACTCAAAGATCTGCAAAAGCTTTCCATATAAGGAAGTTAATAAAGATTAAACGTTCGATAAAAATTTTTTTGAGACACCCTGTATAAACTTCGATCAGAAGGTTTTGATATGTACTAACATCTACCAAAATTTGGGCATTCAATCAAATTTTCTGTTTTAGAAATATGCATTTATTCCCTAGTTGCCCCATCACTTCGATAATCTTAGCGAAGCTTCAGTTTTGTCAAAGTACAGCTACATGGCTACTTGTTCTCAATGCTAAACTGTCTGTGGTACGGTTTCATAAATACTCGTGCTAAGTCTCAATCGAGAATGCAGTGATTGCAGTTTGTGGAGCCAAATATCGCGCTTTACAGCTGTTCTCCTGCCTGCTGTGGTAACGAAAAAAAAACAATACAGAGCCTTTATAGTAAGCGCACGGTATGTTCAGCTGTTTTGCTCGTTGAAACCTATAAAGGAATGTATAATAACAATTCAGTAGTCAATGGTCCTCCATCTTCTGATGAACCTAACATTTTTTTCAGATAGCATGCTCTTCACATTATTGTTCATTACTTTTACGAATTACATTCTGGCAGCCATCAGCGATCTCAACTGCACACATTACGTCGAAAATGCTTTTAAGGTTTGTTGGACTTTTAGAAAATGAATTTTCTTAGTGATTATTTTTCGAGAAAACTTATTCTCTGTCTCTAAATGGTGAGTAAAGTGCGAAATGAACCTCAGTGCAACCTTAAATTCTGACTAGCCTAGATTTTGAAGCCAGTAGCTGTGAATTAGTGCGAATATAGTTAAAGTCGCTCAACACTCCGTTTGCCTAAAAAAAGTCTCGGATAGCTACAGTGACGGGATATGTACCCTAATTGAGTAGGAGACGCACCTGTTTTGTTTTTAAATTCGACCAGCCTGACCACATAAAACATTTCGCAACTAAAGGACCCTATACGGTGTTGCGTATTGCCTGAAAGTATCATCTATATATATATAAAACTCAATGTCTGTGAGGATGTTCGTTTAATTGTTCGTTCGTTATAGAAACGCCAGCCACTGAACCGATTGAGCTGAAACTTCGCACACATATGTTTTCGACCCCCGCGGTGGTTTATAGCTACTTTTTATGGCGGTTCGCAGGGTCCTTCTATTTTATTGATTTGTTTACTTAAATCTGGGAAAATGAAAGTCTGACGTGCTCTAACCAATCATTTTCCAATAAACATGTAAGCAGGGGTGGTGAAGTTTATTCTACTCTTAAGGTCGACAGAATGCAGCGGTTTCGTCTCAAAGCGCTTTTCGCGCGTTGTAGAAGTTAGAAAGTGTAAGTATGATCGAATTCCAGATTCGTGTGGAGGCGCTGCCGAACTTCACTGATTTCAAGGATAAGCTCAACGAGAGAGAAAGAGCGCGAAATACAGTGCTATAACGTGGAGCTTTAACAAGTTTACCCTGAAGATCAGGGAAGTTCGCAACCGGCCTCTGCAAGAATCTGTGAGCCGATGACATATTAGTTAAACTAAGAGTCTCGGGTGAGACCGGGGCCCTCAGCTAGTACAGCATAAAGTTGTTTTCCGAAACACAACGAGGCGGTTGACCGGCTCGCTCAAAAATCGAGGAACGTGCGCCTTATACTCATGAGATTAGGGTACAAATTTCCCATTTGCACAGTAATGAATGCTACATGCGCGTGAAATTAGGGTGCAAATTTCCAATTCGCACAGCAGTGAATGCTACATACAACAAAACTTGCATGAAGTATGCGGCAAATGATAGATGTTCATTAGTTGAATGCCTTACTCTAGCTTGGTGGCAGCTAAAGAAAAGAAAGAGCACATCACTCTGATCAGAGCCTAGCACCAGCTGCAACGAGAAAGATTTTGAAACAAAAACCCTTTAATTTTGAAAAATCTCTGCGAAGTTAACCAATTCGCCTCCCCACTCGGCCTCCACTCCCCCCCCCCCCCACCTCCAGACACGACACACACTTTGATCTTCCATATGTGCCGTGCACTGTTTCCGACTGTAAAAAAACTCAGGTAAGGATTTGGCATTCATCTGTGATCGTCTTTTTCGCTAGCATGGCTTAACTGGGAAAAAGCTTTCTCTACTTCCACCGCCAAACACATTTTCCTTTTCCAGTACTCACCAAAAGCTACGAATTGTGCAAACAAACTTGATGACAAATACTGCCAGACTACCTTTCAAGCCCCACCCGAAGTAAACACTGACGCCGATAGGCAGTCAAAGTGCTACAAGGTATGATGTTACGACTGAATAATTAGTCGACCGGACAAGTAGTAGAATTGTTGATCTTCAGCATTATCATAGTTTCTATAGAAAGTCTGGTTAATAGCTGTACCAGTATTTTTTTATCATCCTGTGTCGAAGAGTACAACATTCGTCACGCAAGCTGCATTATGCAGTGTCCCAAAAATGTGAACAGTGTTTGATCGTTAATAACTTTCTTCTTTGATGCCTTTCACCAGCTTGAGGCACCATGTAGAGCGGTGTTTAGCTCAGATTGAAAGTATGGAACGAATCTCCGATCTTTCCTTATTATAGGATTACGGTGTAAACTTTCAGCATATAGCCCCACTATAGAATAGGCATTTTGCTGACAAGAATTCCAGAAAATCCACAAATTTGTGTAGCAAGGTTTCCAGGCGTGCTGATTTCACTGCATAACTTTTAACCAGTTTTCAGTCTTTTCTAGGAAAACTGTCTTTACCCAAAACCTGAGATAACTTATAACACAAGCATTACAGTGAAGTGCAACTTTCATATCTAGAACCAGCGACTTCAATTAGCCCGGTACAAGAGTTTTTGGCTTGTTTGTTTTCCTTTTGAGGCAGGTATTGCTTTCAGTTACCTAAAACCCTTCTCGAAGTTCCTACCGTTATTCTACAGTAAAAAAGAGTGTTTGCTAATTTGATTCATACTGTGAATTCAATTTGAACATCGCTCTACAAAATGACACCATGCCCCGCGTAAGACGTGAAAGCAAGGTTATTAGGGACCAAACAGTGTTATTTTTGGGATGCCCTGTACATTGAAACTTGAAAGTACCGCTTACTTGAGCACACTGCAAGGTTTCACACACCTAACCGCCTGTGTAGTAAACGAGGAACTATGCTTTGTAGGAGAAACGTTTACCTCGACCGTTGCGTTAGTATTATCTTGCAAAAACAATCGTGAAAGTAAGCTTCATAGTTGTTGGCTTGTACAATGTTCTGGCGTCCAATATAGCCATGTATCGAGTTATAAGAACCTTTATAACATAGACAGAGAGAGAAAAATACAGATGTTTGAAACCGCATGCACTATTTCATCTTTCACTATGAACATATCGAACAGGAGCGAGAAGCTGTACAAGCCGAACTTTACAGCTTTTCGTATGTCCCCTTGACGATCTCGGCGGCTAACCGTCTTTTCCTTGATGTCGTTTTTCTTTTTCGAAGTTCAATAAAACACTCCAAACTCGTGCTGTTCAACTAACTTAACAGTGTCACTCATGTTGCTACTAAGAACCGATGTATTGGAGTCATGAAATTTGCGATGAACCACAAGTGAATGTTAGGGTTTACCGGAAAAATCGATAATCAAAAAACTCATTTGTTCTCATCAGCAACATGCTCAACACTGTTGAATTAGTAATCAGTACAACCTTAAAAGATTTTTGTACACTTCGAAGGAAAGAAAATGACATTGAAGAAACGATGGTCGGCCGCATGGAAATCATCAGGGGATCATACAAAAAGCTGGAAAGTGCGGCTTTTACAGTTTTTTGCCCCCGCTCGATATCTGCATGTTGAAGGATAATGGAAATACTTACGGATAAGTAGACCGCGCAAAATCCAGATATCTAGAGCTTTAGGATATGAAGCTTTTTTAGCTGTGGTCCCCTCTCCAGCTGGAATATTAATGCATGGGTTCTTCAGAGTAACGACTCTCCCCAGCGGGAACTTACGTTCCTACGGGCCCTAATCTATGTATGGCAATATAATAGCGTAGACTCAATGCTGGCATAGTTTGAGACCAGGCAAAAAACCCATCGTAAAAACTCGCATGCATTTTAGGCCCCGGGCAGACTTCACGCGATTTGATCGTCGCGACTGAGTCGCGACGAGACAACTGTTACAACATCATTCCATGCCGATTAACTTGCATTCGGTTGTGATACTTATCCAACCCGTAATTTTTGAATGTGAAATGAAAATGAATGGAAATCTTGGCGATTAGATCGCGACGATTAAGTCGCGTGAAGTCTGACCGGGGCCTTAAGGAGGAAAATAAAATAAATGTAGTTAAAGTAATACTTCACTCGTTCATCATGAAGTTTACACTTATCATATACATATCAATCTGCTATCTCATTCGTGGTGTCTTATTGAGATTATCATTTTCTTTTACTTCTACATACTAGTTTCTGTCCTCAGAACTTTTAATCACATTGCAAAGAACTGCTGATTATCTTGATAACTTACTTGAAATTACGTGGTTGACCTATATCGCAAATTTTGCGAAGGTAGACAGCTTAGTGGATATGATGTTGTAAACCAAATACCAATTAATGTTATATGGTCGAGTTTACCTGGGGGACTTGAACTTGTTTTAAACGAATGCAGCTATTTTTGCCAGATTCTATCATCGCTTTTGAAAGTCACGGCAAGGCAATTTTGAATGCAAAGAAAAGAAGTCCTCACATATTTTTCTGAACTTTGTCTAGGGTGTTATACGACGCGTTAATTATTGATTACTAGAATAATGATCTTTTTGCGTGGTAATTTATTTCGTCGCGAAAAAGTTGAGTTACAAAGAATTAATGCTTCAATTTTTCACCCTAACAACAACTGATTACGATTTCGTGTTCGTCAATTACTCCTTTGTGCAAAGTTTCGCCAAAATTCAACGGTTCCGACTCTTTGGCATCAATAAATTTCTGGGGCGGCGTTAATGCATTCGACTCGTTTAACAAGGGCACCAGATTTGGATGTGTCTTCAACTTACAGTTCTTTTTTGCTGAGCTTGGTGAGCAACATCTGACAACTTTTTACCTACAAGCCATCTCAATTTTTTGGTCAATTCATTTTGTGTAAGGCTTCATTGATCGTAAAATCTAGATTTTGAACGCTCTCAGAAAAATGCGTAGAGTTTACCTTTCTCACCCAAAAAATAAACAGTCCGCAAATTCGTAGCTCACTTTTTGATTTACATCACCTGTATCCCCAGTGATCGTCGCTTGACAAGAGCGGTACCCATGACGCTTCCATTCGTCTTTGTCGCGAGCGAGGATTGGCCAATGTCTTCTTATCGCACCATGTACAGAGAAACGCTTTGAAGGGCTTCAATGAAGGACTTTGTGATCCGACCATGGAGTCAGAGGTATTTCTGTTCCGCGTTTGACGTCCAGCGGTGTCCAAGCCAGTTACGGCTCTGGTCCACCGATTGTCGTCAAAACGCATCATGTGTCCGCCCCATCTAATTTTATTCTCTTTGGCGTATGCGGCAGCATCACTGATCTTCAAACGTTGACGTAGGGTGGGGCATCGTATTCCTTTCCTCACTTGCGCGACTGGGGATTCTCTCAACAGCGCGTTCGATGGCGCTCACCGCATATTTCTCCTGCTTTTTCATGGTCCATAGTGGTTTTTCATGGTTTTAAGCGTACTTCAAAGGGGCAGAACCGTTGTGTTGAAGAGGTTGGTGCGGAGCCGGGTGTTCTTGGTCTTCCTCACTACCTCCAATGCCTGTATGCTCCCCATGTTGCTCGTTTCCTCCTGCTCAGTTTCGGGGTTAGATCGTTCATCATGTTGACTTAGCGACCTGGGTAGACGTAGTTAAAGCATTCAGCGACCCTCATTTGATTCAGCGTAAAGGAAGCATCAGGAACCCATCCGTTTCTCATGAACTTCTCTTCTTCACATTTAGCCACCGATCTTCCATCAAACGGGCCAGCATTCGTTCCGCTTGCGTGATGTTGGTGTAATCAGGACTATCATCAGCGGAGAGAAATGGTGTACTTGCCGGCCGCGACTTTCACTCCCGTCGTTTCATTTTAGTATAAACATGACGTTCGACGGCAGCGCTAAAAAGTTTCGGCGATGTGGTAGGGTTCCTTTATACTACGCCACATGACGCGGCATGCTGCGGCGCACGCGGCAGGATGCAGCAGCCTGCCGCAGCACGCAGCGTCCTGCGGTGTAGTATGAAGGAAACCGTATCGCCTTGCCGTACTTCTTTCTTCACGTCGATGGTGAGGTCGTTGTAAAATGGTGTGATCTATAGTTAAACATAATGATTATCTTACATAACGCCGAAAGTTGGTTGCAATTCATTTGAAAAGAGAGGTACTATGGATGGGCAGAGTCACGAGACTTATGTTCTAAAATAACATAATAACAAGCATCCTTAACGATTTTTCAGTAGAAGATAAGTACGGCACTGCTCTTGTTGATTGCTAAATCCATTCTTACCGTACGCAGTCGGATCCTTTGAACATATTCTATTGATTATTATCGGGAAGAAGCGAAAACAATCGTAAACACAGTTGGAGAGGTTTTGTTCACTTTGCTTCAAAAGGATAAAGCTCAATCTAACCTGAACTTCTTGTGATGCAAAGATGTATATTGTGAGTGTAAATAGCCAAGCGATTTGCACGTTGATGTAACGCTTTATTTGTCATTATTGAATAACTTAAGGATTCGACGGACACTATAAGTGAAGAAGTGAAGAACTTTGTAATCAGCGGTTGCCCACGCTCATGCGCTTATTGCTGCCTGACTCCAGCATACAACTGTGAAAATAAGCAATGTGAGTTTGTCTAGAATGAATCGTAGCAGCAGTTTTTGCAGATAAATAACGCATGTTTGACACATGCTGTCCCAAACAATGCAATTTGCGAATTATACTTAAACGTTGCAAGAATGTCTGATTTTCTGATTGAGCAACATTGCATCAATGAACACAAAGTCGTAGGGAAGAGACAGCAAGAGTAGGAAGTCTGGTCCTAACGGTAATGGATGCCCGTTCACTTACATATCACCTTTCACTGAAGAGAATGATAAAAAATAAGACATTTTTCTGGCTCTGAAAATGAAGCATAAAATAAATACACGAAATTAGCTTGTCTTGTAAGTAGATAAAATTGCTCATATCTGCTCCGCAGAAAAGCAAAAGAAAAGGGACGGCTTCTGTCGGTTTCTTTTTTTTATATGTTCCAGGTTTCGAATTTATCGATTGATGCGAGAAAAGTCTCCGTTACAATACCACTCTCAGAATGTACAAAATTTCCAGGAATTCTGCAAAATTCCGGGAATTTCGCGAAGTCCGCGACGTTCCCGGAATTCCGCGAAATTTCGTGAAATCCGCGAAATTCCAGGAATTTCGCGAAATCAACGCGAATCACGCAAACTACGCAGCGTCATAACTTCCTTCGGAATGAATAAATTCTGAATCCGGAAGCAGCATTGTATTCAGCTCGTCAAGGCGAATCTTTCCGTATGCAGCATGTCCTCGATATTCCGTTTCCAGTTTTATCAAATTCTTCTGCGGAGGTCCTTTCGCAACAATGTAACGCAGCGCCTATCCAACGTAAGAGATGCCTGTAAGCAGTATTCGATACTTCTTCTGTGAATTGCGGAGCGCTAAAGAGTAGCCGCAGACTTCTTTCCATAAGAGATAAAAGCGCTGGTGAATTCGCTGAAAAATCACGCGTTTCTAAATTCTACTCGCCGTAACTTCCTTTGGAATGAACACATTCTGAATCGGAAAGAAGCATTTTGCTCAGCTTTCTTAAGCCAATCTTTCTGTGTACAGCATGTCTTAAATTTTCTCAGCATTCTGCAGTCTTTCTGCGGACGGCTCTTCGCAATGGTGTAAAGCAGCGCGTTTTGCCCCTAGTAGATTTCAGCAAGGACATCTCGATAGTACTTCTTCTGTAGATTATGGAGCGCCAAAGAGTAGCCGCAGACTTTTTTTCCAAAGGAAATAGAAGGGCTGATGAATTCTGGAAAAATCATGTCGTTCTGAATTTTACTCACCATAACCCTAAATATGAAGCTTTCTTTCTGAGCGGATGTGATTTTCGTAATCAGCAGGTCGGATAACCTCTATGAGCAAGTTTTCCGAGATGTTCGGCTTACTTCATTTTTTCTGGTTTTACGCTCTAAAGCCGGTGGATTGGTCAAAATGTTGATGATCTGCGATTGTAAGGAGACTTCGCTTATAGAGGTTTTCGGGCAAGTTGTTTGCAAAAATCATGGTCTTTGGGGAATAAAGGGTCTTTTTGCAGAGATATGGTGAGGTAACTGTAACTGAGTCACGAAAATTCGTAAATTCGCCTGCACTTCTCGCGTATCTTTCAGAAAACTTGACTGCTTGCTTTGATGGGTTAAAGTTAATAGGAACCGCGCTAATGAACGGTGCTTGTCTCAGGCTCCAATTTATGATCACCGAGTTACGACTACGAAAACACGTCCTCATGTATTTTGCCCAGAAATAAAGATCGCATACTTCGTCGAAATTCCTCCGCGAGTGGTTGTACAACACGTTGATTAAATTTTTTGACATCGCTTAATGGATCTTTCTGTATTGGATTTGAAGGTTATGTAGATCTGAGCTCTGGCTACGAAATTGCTTTGGTATCCAGTTAAGCAGCTGAAGTACACGCAACCGCCGTATTCAGTAATGGGATCCATTGGGCGATGGACATAATGTGTTATATAACATAATGTTTACAACCAGAATGTCGTAGAAAACTCACGGTCAGGGTCAAGCGTGTTGATGCGATCCGGGACCCTCATTTACGACCCCCTCTTGAAGGTACCCATCCGTACGACCCCCCGCCCCTTCCCCCCTCACCCCCCCCCCCCCCCACACTCCCCCATTTATCCCCCTTACCTCCCTTGCCCACTTTCCTCGCGGTAACCTGCATAAACGAATGTCAATCTCAAATAACACCTGCGTGAGAACTTCAGTGAGGCTTTGAAAGCAGAATTTCTAGGCCAATGGGTGCGTCCAGCATCTGTAGCACACATACACACCTTCAATAATGTTTGAGAATCTGCAAGTTTTTTTTTGAATTTTCAGGCATACTTCAGACCAGCAAACTCGATTCCCGTAGGCAACACAAATTTTTGCACGGAGAAAAAAATGACATCCTTGAACAACAAAAGATGTTTTCGACTAGGAAGCTTACTTCCTACCTCTTCCACAGTTTTTTCCGCGAATAAAACCGCTTGAGCGCCGTCCAGAACGACGTCAAAAACGCATGAGCACGGTAGTTTAAAAATTCGTAACTAAGGCCAGGAAAAGGCTGAGATGCTGCAAAGCACAGGTTCCGTAGGATAGTGCCCAGACTATCCATAGAAAAAGTTTCAACTTTTGAGGAGCAGTAAGCTCGAAAAAGTTTAAATGCGACTCTCGCAAAATCAGATGCGATCCTAAAAAGCAAAAACTGGGATTTTTGGGCTTAAAATTTTGTAACTTACCAGAAAAGTTACAAAACAGCCTACAATTTTTACGAGAGAAAGAGGAGGGTGGCCTCATATTGATGCAGAATTGCAGCCAACAAGCTTCAATAGCTCCGAAGAAATTTAGATGCGACCCAAATACGACCCCCCTTTCCTGATTTTTTGCTACCATACATAAAATTATAAGAAAATCCACAGTTGACAAAATAACATTAAATTTTGCACTGATGTAGCGAAGTATCTCCAAAGTACAAATAAATTATATGAGCCCGTGAAAAACATTACCAAAAGGTTTAGAAATTTATTATGGTTGCAGCTGGTAATAATATTCGCTTTTGTCGAGTGTGTGAGACTTCAGGAGGGCTTCAAAAGCAAGATTTCTAGGGCAATCGGTACATTTAGCATTTTTATCAAATCATACATCCTTCAAAAGTGTTTTGAGCTGTAGTAAATGTTTTTTTTTAAGAATTTCTACAGGTTTTTTATCTTTTTCGTTCTAATTTCCACTTTTTTATAGATTTATTGTAAAGGGCATAACTAATTATCTGCTTTTTGATTCCCTTAAAGCTTAGGGTATTTCAGCCTAACTACCTTCTCTTACCCCCCCCCCACCTAGGTACCCTCTTTACGACCCCCCGTTGCGACAGTCGCATCACAAGCTTGACCCTGCTCACGGTGGAATTTCGACGAAGTATGTGATCTTTACATTTTGGGCAAAATGCATGAAGACGTGTTTTCGTAGGCTCGTAACTCGGCGATCATAGACTGGAGCCTGAGACAAGCACCGTTCATTAGCGCGGTTCTTAGTAACTTTAACCCATAAAAGCAAGCGATCAAGTTTTTTGAAAGATATGCGAGAAGTGCAGGCGAATTTACGAATTTTGGTGACTCCGTTACAGTTAGCTCACCATATCTCTGCAAAAAAGACCCTTTATTCCCCAAAGACCATGATTTTTGTAAACAGCTTGCTCGAAAACCTTTATAAGCGAAGTCTCCTTACAATCGCAGATCATCAACATTTTGACCAAAATCCATCGGTGAATCTGCGGTTACTCTTTGGCACTCCATAATCTACAGAAGAAGTACTATCGAGATGTCCTTGCTGAAATCTACAAGGGGCAAAACGCGCTGCTTTACATCTTTGCGAAGAGCCGTCCGCAGAAAGACTGCAGAATGCTGAGATTAGAATTTCAAGGACATGCTATATACAGAAAATTTGGGAAGCTCAGCAAAATGCTTCTTTTCGGTTCAGAATATGTTTATTCCAAAGGAAGTTACGGCGAGTAGAATTTAGAAACGCGAATTCACCTGCGCTTTTATCTCCTATAAAAGAGGTCTGCGGCTACTCTTTAGCGCTTCGTAGTCTACAGAAGAAGTATCGAATACTGCTTACAGGCATCTTTTACGTTGGATAAGAGCTGTGTTACATCCTTGCGAATGGACCTCCGCAGAAGAATTTGATAAAACTGGAAACGGAATATCGAGGACATGCTGTATATGGAAAGATTCGCCTTGATGAGCTGAACACAATGCTGCCTCCGGATTCAGAATATATTCATTCCGAAGGAAGTTATGGCGCTGCGTAGTTTGCGTGATTCGCGTTGATTTCGCGAAATTCCTGGAATTTCGAGGAATTCTTGGAAATTTTGCACATCCTGGGAGTGGTACTGTATCTCTCAAAGCCAAAGCATTGAATTATTTTTCAACACATCTCTGTACCACCCTATTCTCATCATTTTCACCCATAGGCATGCTTGAAATATAAGCTAACGTCAGCAGTAAGCTTGAGGCTCTGGGGCTGAGTTGTCTCGCATGGAATCAGCCGAAACCCTCTTAATCTAAAAGGGACCCTGTTTTGCTCTATCGCACCTGTGCTCTCTACCGTCGAGCTTGCTACAGCAAGCAAATCACCTATCTTCCAGATTTATTAGTCATAAATTTACCGCATATTTCTACTATGCGTACTTCAGCTGTGCCCCGCATTTCGATTATTTTCTGCAAAAAGGAAGCGTTTGTGGTGAAAGTCATTTTCATACGATTTATTTCGACTCGTCTGCCATGCAAAATGAGAGAAAATCAATTCCCAGTATTTTTTTCAAAAAAAAAGAACAAAAATTTGCAAAACGATGATATGATTATGTTGAGTTTGCCACATGAGCAAAATGGATAGGAGACAAGAGCACAAATTATAACTTGCAGTGTAGACATTCCAATCCATCGAAATTGATAACTATGATGTTTGAAATGCATAGCTATGCGAGTAAATTGCAAAAAAACTTTATGAACGGTATTCTAGGGTTGTAGAGTTTGATGTTGTCAAAATTTCTGGAAAATTATCAGAGTAGTTGGCAATGATGAGCGATTTCCGAAAAAAAGGTCTGTGAAAGGCGTGCTAAGTTAGCGTTATGATTGCACGGGATCTAAGTCCCGTGCAACCATAACGGAGCCGGATTCTTCTGGACTACTTGCCTAACGGCCTTGCGCTCGGTTTGCTTGCCTGCGCTTCATGGCCGTTTGTGCACTTTGCCAGCTCGTTATTTCGAAAGAAAGTTTCGCAGCATCGGCATTCGCCAAACTTTTCATCCTAGTCTGGTCGAGAATGAAAAGACGAGGGTCCTCGTTGCACGAGCTCGTGCCTCATCGCTGAGATAGCACATCACACTGTGTCACAAAGCCATCCACATCTAATATTCGGCTACTAACAAGGGAAGCGTCACTAGTCGAAGTGGCCTTTCCAGATGGGACCCATACTGCTTTGAAGAGCATTAAGCGATGGTTCCAAATCTGCCTTCCAAATCTGCCAAGCGCCTTTGGACACCGAGTTATGGGCGTTTTCCAGGTCAAAAAATTGGACGCAAAACTGGAACAAAATCACCCAAATTTACTCAAATGGTCCAGTGTCAAGTTTCAAAGCCGTTTATGCAATGGATACATTTTGTCTAATATGCTAACACTTAACATTGCTTTATCTGAGCACTGAAAAGATTGTAACAATCGATTTTACCTAAATTCTGCATTCACAATTTTCGTTTCAAGAAATGGTCATAATTCAACGGCCAGAGGCGCTTGGCAGATTTGAAAGGTAGATTTGGAATCACCGCTTAATGCTCTTCAAAGCAATATGGGATTCATCTGGAAAGGCCACTTCGACTGATGACGCTTCCTTTGTAAGGTGCCAGCGCTGTGCGCTGATAGCGTCCCCAATAGGGCGAACGCGCTGCTTCTTATGAAATGCTTCGACTTACACCTGATTAAAATAGATTGTAAAAAGCACTCATTTTGTGTAAAAAAAGCAGTCTTACTTCCGCTATGATCACAAATGTTGCAGCTCATGCCTTATGCGAGCGGTGTTGTTATTTCACAACGCAGACGTCATTCTCTTTCAAAATTCGAACCATATTTCAGACCCTCGCATTTCTTGTTCTTTGGTAACCGCAGCAATGTGTAACCACGTTATATGGAAGAGTTTACTTGCTGAAGATTGCCCTAATGTTTGCGGATTTTGCGAGGAAGGTGAGTTTCCAATCCAATGTTTCGGTATCTTGCAATGGTCATTCTACACATAATTCAAGGTAAATTATTAGATGAATGTATTCCAGAAGTATCAGGTTGTTCCACAATTTCCGTACGTTTTGACTTTCAACCACAATAAGTCGCAGATTGCTTATATCTAGATAAATTCTGGGATACCATTTGATAAAGCAAAGCCAGCCTACAAGATGGGGTTCTTGTTTTCGCACCAGCTTAAATTCACCTCGAATTTGAAGCCGAAAAGCAAAAAGATGCAACCGCCGGAATATTGAAGGAAACTTCATAAGTCCTTCTAAAAAATGCTCAAAAAATTCTTAACTTGGTCACAAATACACTATCCATATCAGACATTTTTATTTACTGTCGCTGTATTTTTTCCTTGGATAGAAATTAAGAAAAAGAAAAATTTCATGTTTTTGCCAAAGTGATGGTGTACCGCTCCCAGTTGGTGGTTGTACACTAAGACAAGTACAGACATGGATTTTTAGCGCTCTATAGTTTTAGTTTTCGAGAAATATAGAATTTAGCTTCACTTAGTTGAGCCCATACTGAAACGAATATTTCTCGAGGACTAAAGCCTGCAGAGAGCTAAAAATACGTCTGTACTTTACTGATCTGTAGTGTACAACCACTGATGGGGAACAACATAAAATTACTTTAGCAAAAACAATAAAAATTTCTCTTAGTTTCCATTTGAGAAAATATACAACAACGCTGTGTATAAATGTCTGATGTGGATAGTGTATCTATGAGCAAGTTAGGAAATTTCTAAGAATTTTTTGAAAGGAGTTACAAATTTTTCTATTATTTTGACGGTTGAATCTTTTTGGTTTTCGGCTTCAAACTCAAGATGAAGTTGAATTGGGCGAAAGCAAGAACACACTCTAGTAAAGCTTGCTTTGCTCTATCAAGCTGTACCTTGGACCTATCTAGGACATAAGAAGTTCTTGTTGCGACTGAAAGTTAAAAAGGACAGAACTTCTGGGACAGCATGATACATTAAAGGCAGCGTGCGGGCAGATACGAAAATGTAGAGCACAGGGGTGCCCGTCAAGGCTCTTGCTCAACTGGCAATGCACCAATTTGCTTCTAAAGCGAAAAATGACGAAGAAGAGAAGAAGTGGCGACCAGAACGCCCTGGCGACCGGGACGAGTTGGTTCGATATGCCGGGGTGCGCATACCGCACACTGTCAAGACACGTAGGGTCCCACAAAGACTCTGCGTCTTAACTTGGCGGCAGGCGACAAATTCAATTCAAGAGTTTCTGGAGAAGCCCGTTTTCGGCGTTTTCGTGCCCTCCAAGCTGCATTTTCAGAATCAGCGTGAGAAATAAGCCCAGGTAAGCAAAAAAATATTCCATTGAAATCTTGCCCGGACGCTGCCTTTGAGACCCAAACTTCCACGATAAATTATGTGCATTCTACTTTGAACTGAAATTTTCGAACTGTAATGATAAAACAGTGTATACATACTTTTGAGGTTCCCTATGCATACATACAGACACAAAGACATTCACTATAAAATGATGTACTCTACAAGTGCTCTTTCTTATCAAATATGTCCTATGGCAAGAAAAGTTTTGTCGGGAAAGAACAACTGTTTTTACATATTTGTTAGAAAGAAGTTGTTTGCCGGTACCAGCGTCCGATTCTTTGTTTTTTTAGCACGGCATCGGTTCACTTCATAAAAAAGGTAATTATACTTGCCTCCTGAATGTGAAACTTACAAACATCCGATAGTCCACCGTAATCTAACCACAACAATGCGCTTAAGGTCTCCTTTGGGCATATCAGCACTCTTGACTGATCCTTTATGTTTGTAAAAATTTGCAGACAAATGACAAACTCTTATTGTTTGAATACTTCTCATGCTTTTAGAGAAAGGCTTTCAAGGTTTCATAACGTAAGTTACTGCTTTGCAAATAAAGATTTGTCTGGCTATACGTTGAACTTGTATACAAGTTCTCATTGGTCAAGATAACTCATTCCAAATTTTAGGCCAGTGCCAAGATAAGGCTCCTTTTTGTGCCCAGCATAGAACAATATGTCGACACGTTGATCTTCAGGCATTTGCAAGAGTGAGTCGACCTTGTACGTATATAAGATTGTCCTCTATTTTTTTTTTCGAAACGTTTTGCAATTTTACTCGAGTTTTCTATTGTATACGATTTGTCATTTTTTCATAAGCCCCAATCAAAAACGACGCTATACAACATTTTAGAGTCTTTCTCACCGAACGCATCTCCAATAGATTTCTGGATACATGATTTTTTCAAATACTAGCGATCCTATGGGTCGCTAGCAAGTGGGTCTGGGCAGATACAATATAAGGGCTTATTGCGACTATAAATATTTCTAAATAAGTTTCCTTTTCTTTTCCTGAGAGTTTTTACGAGAAGCTTCTACAAAAAGGGACTGCTCGAAGAAGCGATAATTTCCACAAATTATTCAGCATTTCGCGAAATTCCAGTTACAACCATGCATGGAGAATATTATTTTTTTCTCGTTTACCATGCTCTTTCTGCAAATTTCCCCGTCTCACAGAGACATTCAGAAAAAACCCCCACTTTTTTACCCTCTCAAAGAGAATCTGCTTTTCCAGTTCTTCTCAACAAGTTCCATAAAAAACCGTTAAAAGTAGCAGAATACCTATCGTTTTGGAGATAGACATACACCCATAATAATTATGTGCACTATGAAGAACACTTTTCTCTCAGAATCAATTCCGATAGCAACGAATTAATCGTCTAAAAACTTTGTCAGAGAATCCTTCAATTTTCGCCAAAAGAATATGAAGCTTTACTACAAAAGGAGAAGCCCCTACTGAGCCACCTAAAAATCGTCAATCATAAGAAGTGCACAAACGTACAAAAAATTTGTTTCTCTGTCCGATCAAATTGCCCTACGTGCCGCTTATAAACCGATATTATCTATCTGAAAGGCAGTTGATGCCCTACGTGCCGCTTGAAGACCGTTCAAAAATTATAAGAACTGCCCCAAACGTACAACTGTTTCCCTGTCCGATCGAGCTGCCCCACGTGCCGCTTACAGACCGACAGTAGCTATTCAAATAGCAAGTGTAGGCCTTATGTGCCGCTTGAAGACCGTATAATAAGAAAAACCAACTACGACTCCTACAAAAAGAAGACAATGAAATCAAGTATTTACAGCGTATTCTCAAACTGCCGTACGTGCCACTTTAGGACCTTCAATTTTGAGAACTGCGCCAAACATACGAAAATCTACAGGGTGTCCCAAAAAGATGTGTACACTGTTTGATCGTTAATATCTCTCCTGCTTTCATGTCTTTTGTCGAGCTTAAAATGCCATTCTGTAGGTTGAGGTTCAACTTAGATTTGCTGTGTGGAGCGAATGACCGAGTGCTCTTCATTATTGTAAGTTTATGGTAAAAACTTCGAGGGGGATTTTAAGCCATTAAAAGCGGTATTTTGCCGGTGATGCCTCAGAAAGAAAGCCAAACAAACCAGAAACTCTTGAATGGGCTAATCGAAGACGCTGAGTCTAAACGTGAATTTGCGCTTTAGTACAGCGCTTCTTTCATAAGTTATTTCAGATTTAGGGTAACAACTGTCTTTCCAATGTTCATCAGAAATATGAATACGCCATCAAGAAAGCTCGAAAAACTCATGAAAAGTCATGTAGTGAAGTCAGCATGCCTGAAAACATTGCCATACAAATTTTCAGTTTTTTTTGAAATTATTTCATCAAAAGGCCTATTTCACAGTGACGCTGTATGCTGGAAGTTCATACCGTAATCTTAGAGTAATGAAGAGTGATTGGTGATTCGCTCCACATAGCAAATCCAAATTGAACCTCGGTCTACAGAATGGCACCTTGAGCTCGGCAAAAGACATGAAAGCAGGAGAGTTATTAACGATCAAACAGTGTGCACATCTTTTTGTGACACCCTGTATTTCCCTGCCCGATCGAGTTGCCCTACGTGCCGCTTACAGACCGACGGTAATTATTCAAAAAGAAAGTTTCTGCCCTATGTTCCGCTTGAAGAGCGTATATATAAGAAAAACGAACATAACGACTCTACAGAAGGGAAACAACGAAATCAAGTCTTTACGGCAGAGGTGCGATAGTTGGCGAGTCTCCGCCTACCTTCACTTTGGCTCCCGCCAGAGTGCCGAAGTTATGCCAGCGCTACGCCAGCATTTCGACCGATACACGTGTATTTCGTTGGGGCGGGGCTAGCTCAGCAGGTAGATGTCCCTAACGAAATACACGTGTATCGATCGAAATGCTGGCGTAGCGCTAGCATAACTTCGGCACTCTGGCGGGAGCCTTTTGACTGGTACGGGGTGACCACCTTCACTTTTGGGTTTGAAAAAATTCTTTGCTGAAGCTTAAAAGAAGGAAAATAAGCAAAAGGAACGCAAAAGAAAATATTGAGAGCATATATCTATGCAGTAAGTCGATCTAAGCAGTAACCGCCGAGAACCAGAATTTCGAATGATAAAATAGCGAAAAAATCATGCGAAATTCCACTGTAATAAATCTGGTGGTTGAAGATGTCAGCAATTGCGACTTTACAGGTTTTAAAGGGCAAGCTTTGTTCTAGAGATAGTGAAAAAATTAGGTCGGTCTGAGCAGTGGCCGCCGAGAACGAGAATTTTAGAAAATTAAACGATTTTGGGTTATCTAGTGACAGCTGGCGTTCAGACTCCTATAAATCTGGAATGTGAGGGTGTGCAATGTTGCGGCTTTATAGGTTTTATAGAGTAAGAATTGCTTTATCGGACTATGTCTTAGCCGTACCGATCCATCAAGATACCACCGAGATTCAGGCTTTTAAAAAAACAGATGAAAAACCACTTTTGATATTCAACAGCTCATAACTTCTCCAGAATTGCATGAATCATGTTGCCACTTCATAAGTCAGATTCTTCTCATCAAGAGCTTTCAGATGATATATAATATGTGGGGGTTTCGTGCCTCTTACGGCATATGCCCGGGGTGGAGACTTTTCACCCCAGAGTCTCCACTGGCAGTCTTTGGCCAATACATT